ACTGTTTTAAGGATCTGTCCTGAAGTACAACACCGTCAGTGATAGGATAATATCCATTCACCTACAAGGAAAACCAGTTTATACTACTATTATCCAAATTAACACACTAACCACCAAAGCCAAAGATGAGGACATTGAAGATTTCTACTAACTCCTGCAGTCTGAAGTTAATCGAACATGCAATCAAGATGTGTTGATTATCACTGGTGATCAGAATGCAAATGTTGGAAATGAAGATTTATCAGTAGTTGAAAAACGTGCCCTTGGTGATAGAAATAATGCTGGAGATCGCATGATAGAATTTTGCAAGACCAATGACTTATTCATTGCAAATACTTTTTTTCAACAACATAAGCAATGACTATATATGTGCACTTCACCAGATGGAATACACAGGAATCAGATTGACTATATCTCTGGCAAGAGGCAATGGAGAAGTTCAGTATCTTCAGCCTAAACAAGGCTAGGAGCTGATTGTTGAACAGACCATCAACTGCTCATATGCATGTTCAAGTTGAAGTTGAAGACAATTAAAACAAGTCCATGAGAGCCAAAATATGACCTTGGTAATATCCCTCCTGAATTTAGAGACCATTTAAAGAATAGATTTGATACATTGAACTCCAATGACCGAAAACCAGAGGAATTGTGGGATGACATCAAGAACATCATCCGCAAAGAAAGCAAAAGGTCATTAAAAAGACAGGAAAGGAAGAAAAGACCAAAATGGATGTCAGAAGAGACGCTGAAACTTGCCCTTGAGCAAAGAGTAGCTAAAGCAAATGGAAGAAATGACAAGATAAAAGAGCTGAACAGAATATTTCCAAGAGCAGCTCGAGCAGACAAAGCCAATCACTATAACAAAATGTGCAAAGACCTGGAGTTAGAGAACCAAAAGGGAAGAACATGCTTGGCATTTCTCAAGCTGAAAGAACTGAGGAAAAAAATTTAGGCCTTGAGTTGCACTACTGAAAGATTCTACGGGCAAAATGTTGAATGATGCAGGAAACATCAAAAGAAGATGGAAGGAATACAGAGTCACTGTACCAAAAAGAATTGGTTGATGTTCATCCATTTCAGGAGGGGGCATATGATCAAGAAACAATGGTATTGAAGGAAGATGTCAAAGCTGCACTGAAGGAACTGGTGAAGAACAAGGCTCCAAGAATTGATGAAATACTCACTGAAATGTTTCGACAAATGGATGCCCTGCTGGAGGCACTCACTCGGTTAAGCCAAGAGATTTGGAGGACAGATACCTGGCCAACTGACTAGAAGAGATACATATCTGTACCTATTCCAAAGAAAGGTGATCCCACAGAATGTGGAAATTATTGAATAATATAATTAATATTACACTCAAGTAAAATCTTACTGAAGATAATTCAAAAACGGTTGCAGCAGTATATTGACAGAGAACTTCCAGAAATGCAAGCTGGATTCAGAAGAGGACGTGGAACAAGGGATATCATAACTGATGTCAGGTGGATCTTGGCTTAAAGCAAAGAATACCAGAAAGATGTTTACTTATGTTTTATTGACTATGCAAAAGCATTCAATTGCGTGGATCATAACAAATTATGGATAACATTGAGAAGAATGGGAATTCCAGAACACTTGATTGTACTCATGAGGAACCCGTACATAGATCAGAGGTTGTCATTCAGAACAAGGGGATACTGCACAGTTCAAAATCAAGAAGGGAGTGCATCAAGATTGTATCCTTTCACCATACTTACTCAATTTGTATGCTGAGCAAATAATCCAAGAAGCTGGATTATATGAAGAAAAATGTGGAATCAGGATTGGAGGAAGACTCATTAACAACCCGTGATACGCAGATGACACAACTTTGCTTGTGAAAGTGAGAATGACTTGAAGCACTTACTGATGATGAAGATTAAAGACTATAGTCTGCAGTATGGATTACACCTCAATATAAAGAAAACAAAAATCCTCACAACTAGTTCAATGAATGGTTTCACGGTAGATGGAGAAAAGATTGAAGTTGTCAAGGATTTCATATTGCTTGGCTCTACAATCAACACCAAGGGAAGCAGCAGTCAAGACATCAGACGACATATTGCATTGGGCAAATCTGCTGCAAAGGACCTCTTTCAAGTGATGAAGAGCAAAGATGTCTCCTTGAAGACTGTTGTTGTTGTTATTTGCCACTGATTCCGCCCCAACTCATAACGACCCCTCCTTGGGTTTCCGAGGCAGTATCACTACAGAAGTAGGATTGCCCAACCTTCCTTCCGAGGAGTGGCTGGTGGGTTTGAACCGACAGCCTTCTGGTTAGGCAGTTAAGTGCCTTAGGCACTATGCTACCAGAGCTCCTAGGTGTGCCTAACACAAGCCTTGGTATTTTCAATCTTCTCATATGCATGTGGGGAGCTCTGCTAGCTTAGCGCCTAAGGCACTTGACTGCTAACCAGAAGGCTGGTGGTTCAAACCCACCAGCCACTCCTCGGAAGGAAGATGGGGCAATCTATTTCCTAGTGATACTGCCTCAGAAACCCAAGGAGGGGTCGCTATGAGTCAGGTCTGACTGGAGGGCACATAACAACAACAACAACATATTCATGTGAGAGCTGGACAATGAATAAGGAAGACTGAAGAAGAGTTGATGCTTTTGAGTTGTGGCGTTGGAGAAGAATGCTAAGAGAACCCTGGAGTGCTAAAGGCCACCTGCCCCCGCTCCCCGCCTACCGAGGCGCGGCCTGAGGTTGCAAGCCGTCCCTGGTCCCCTCCCCGCGCCCCGCCCGCCGTTCTGGCGATAGGTATTTGAAGCCCAGGGCGCCTCCGATTCCTGCTTCCTGCCGCTCCCAGGTCCTCCGCTTTGTTCTTGGCTGTGGCGCCGAGACTCTGAGGTACATGTCTGACTGGGGTCCGGCTCTCTGCTCTGTCGTCCCGGAAGAGCTTCGGAAGCCAGGGAGGAGGGAAGAAACTCCCGGGAGACACTCCCTGGAGCCCCTCGGCTCTCCCCGCTCAACTGCCTCCAAGAGCCGGACAAGCGAAGGCCCAGGACTAAGCCTTGCGGGCCGGCGGGGGCGGGGTGGCGGAACCGACCGTCCGACTTGGGTTTCACGCCAGGCAAGGCGGTGGGGAGGACAGGGCGTCTCCCAGGGAGTGTTTGCCTGGCCGCCAGATGAGCCAAGGTGCGCACCTGAGGAGGAGGAGGTGTTGGCGGCGAACGGTGCCGGAATGGGGGCGGTGCCAAGCCTTCCGGGCTGCTGCGCAGGGCGGCCGGGGCACAGGTGATCCCTACGGTTCTTCGTCCGCTGCGCGCGTGCTCGTGCATGCGGACGTTGGAAACCCCCGAGAGCCTGTGGGTTTGAGGCCAGAGAGAGGCCGAGGGGTGGGTGATAAAGGCGGTGAGACTCGGCTTCCCAAGGGCCTATTTAGACACTCAACGCGTAAGTGGGTGTCGTCGCCCTCCCGGGCTTGCGCTGTGGAATTTGGCGAATTTTGCAGCCTGTGAAGATAACCCTGAGGGCCATTCTAGGTCTTGTTGCTTCTTCTTCTTCTTCTTTTTTAATTAAACTCACTGCAGGAAAGATATGACAAGATTTGGTGTCTTGAAGGCTAAGAGGACAGAGGGGGGACATTTTAATCATATTTGGGATTTATGTGCTAGATAAAATTGACACTTAGGTTTCTTTGCCTACCCCTAAAAAGCTTTCGATTTGGGAAACCAGAAATATGGAAAATTAATATCCAGATGCTGACAGAAATACTCATATGTTGGGTGGAAGTTGTGTTAGATGTTGGCACTTTTGTTTCTGGGCTGTTGTTTGTTTGATGACAAGAATATGGCCCAGCTGCCTGCTTCTCTCTGTTGCAGTTGTAGGACTGATGTAAAGGGCTAAGTAATTTTTGGGTTAAGGTCCTATGACATGTCTCATCACTGGGGCTAAATGGGGTACACTGTGGTTAGCGTGAATTACGGCTGTTACAAGTATATACAGAGGTAATGAAGCATTTCCTGTTTCCTGCTAAGTAACTGTATTCATTTGACTTTATGCCAGGGAAAGGGTACAGTTTTAGTCACACTTAGCCACATAAACTAAGTATTTAAAATTACATAAAGGCAGTTCCAATCCAAGGCAGTTTTACTACAATTCAGTTACTGTTAACTCCAACTAGTAAGAGTAGCATGAAATTAGAGAATCAAAGTAAATGGAATCACTATTCTTTTATACTTATACTAAAGGAGCTCTGATAGCATAGTGCCTAAGGCACTTGACTGCTAACCAGAAGCCTGGCGGTTCAAACCTACTAGCCACTCCTCTGAAGGAAGATGGGGCAATCTACTTCGGTAGTGATACAGCCTCGGAAACCCAAGGAGGGGTCGCTATGAGTCGGGTTCGACTCCACGGCAAATAACAACAACATATCACACGAAGTATATGTTGTGAGGCACTGTGAAAGACCATATGTTTCCAAACTTGCTAGATCTAGGATTAGGCCTAGACATCAAAAGAAAGTAATATGTAATTCTACCCACCATTTATTGAATGCCTGCTGTGAGCCAAGCATGATCTTTTTTTATCCTCATAGTAGACCTATACAGTAGATGGGATTACCTCTGTTAAATAGAAGGCCACTGCTACTCAGAGAAGTTAAAAGCAGACACATAGACATACACAAACATATACACACAAAGAAATGTCCAAGGAAACACAAGTAATGATAAAGAAGGAAAGTTTCCATTAAACCAATCTTTAAATGGTTAAATTATGTAGGAAATTAAGATATCCTTAATTCAAGGCAAGAAGTACAATTAAATAATGACACTTAAACAATCATTAAGACTTAATCAGTTGAATAAAATCAATGATCAACATTGAGTGCTCAAAGGTATTGGTGATACTACCAGAAAAATATGGTGCTAGGATAGATTTATTCTTAATACTCAGTTGTTATGTTTGTGATTAAATTCTGATTTTATTTTTTATTAGATATACTTCTTTTAAAGCAGTAAATATATTGAGATATGTAATGAATTTTGCATATGTGTAGGTTTGTATACACACACACGTTGTTGTTGTTGTTGTTGTTATGTGCCATCGAGTCAGCCCTGACTCATAGCGACCCCTCCTTGGGTTTCCAAGGCAGTATCACTACGGAAGTAGGATTGCCCAACCTTCCTTCCGGGGGACACACACACATACATACACACACTTTTGGTTATCTTATTTACTAAAGCTAGTACCTACTAAAGAAGTAGGTACTTGTGAAGTCAGTGTTAGGCATTGAGTTTGCAATGTGATCCCCTATGAAATGTACATTCTTATTATAGGTACATTCACTGAATGGGAAAAATAAACCCTCAATACAAAGACCTCATTAGATTATTTATAATTTTCTTTGTATTTGGAATATCTTAGTGAGTAATGTTGTTGTTGTTGTTATGTGCCGTCGAGTCGGCCCCGACTCATAGCGACCCCTCCTTGGGTTTCCGAGGCAGTATCACTACGGAAGTAGGATTGCCCAACCTTCCTTCCGAGGAGTGGCTGGTGGGTTTGAACCGCCAGCCGTCTGGTTAGCAGGCCAGTGTCTTAGCCACTATGCTACCAGTAATAAGCTGTTTAAATTTGGGTTTGTTTTTCTTTGCTTTTAGGATTAATATCACTGTAATCTTTTTATGATTGATTATTAAAGATTTATATATTATTGCGAAGTGATAATAGAAATTTCTTTATGATTATATAATAGTGGCAGATTATTTTCAAATTAACATTTCAGGACAAATAAGTAGAGTATTAATAAATGATATTTAATGCTTGGACATATACTTTACATTTAAAAGAGGAACTAGGTGATAGTTGAAGAAATCACTTTTGAACATTAAAATGTTTTATTCTGCACCCAAAAGTAGTTCATAAAATCATGACCATATGTGTTTATCTCCTTTCTCTCATAAAACCCTGCTACGTGACAGTCAAGGAACTTTTTTAAGCATTGAAACACAAGGACAAAGAACCAGACAGGAGACAAACAGTGAACAAGAAAGAGAAGGAAAGTCGCTAGAGGAGGGGTAGGTGATTTAGCCACCTGGAGGAAGATTCATCCTCAGTGCCTGTGGAGGGAACACACCCTGGGTGGAACTGACAGTCTCCAAGTTGGATGCATTACTTTATCTGGAAAGACAGGAATGAACTGTAGGCTGAAAAATGGAGGGCCTTTGTCTTGGGTAAGGAACTCTGGTGGTGCAGTGCTTAAGGCATTTGGCTGCTAACCTAAAGATTTGTGGTTAAAACCCACCAGCTGCTCTATAGGAGAAAGATGAGGCAGTCTGCTTTGGTAAATATTTATAGCCCTGGAAACCCAGTGGGCAGTTACACTGAGCTGGAATCAGTTGGATGGCAGTGAGTTTGGTTTGCTTTGGTTTTGGTTTTGGTCTTAGATAGAAAGTCTATTTACAGAGTAGTTTGATACCAGTTGTCATCTCTCACCCTGGCACCCAGACAGCTAGCCCTCCCTGTCTACTGGCCACGCAACAGATGAATCTCTTAGCTGTAGAAGAACCATGGCTGGGAATTCAGGGACCCCCTTGGTAGTGTGGTTGAGGGGAGAGTCATTAGGCTGTAAAGCAGGAATTCCTGATTAAGTGAAAGCCCCCTGAGCTCCACCCCGCCTGCTTCCAGGCACTAGCTGCAGACCAGACGGCTCTTTTCCACTTGCTGGTTCCTCAACAATAAAGCTACTGCCCCCTTGGTCACACTGCAGTGAAGTCCCAGCTTACATGACCTGACTTTGTGTACAGAATTTCCAATTAGTAAATATGAATTGACTAATGAATTTTTTTTGACATCCAAGGATTGTTAAGCATTTGTGAAAAGCCTATGTATGAAAGAGGGAGACCTAATTAAAGAAGGAACACTGACCACAATAGTGAAAAGACCAAGAGAAAGAGACACAAGGCAGGGAGCAGAAAACAATGCAATGAGGTTATAATTGATGTTTCCAGAGGAATTAGAACAGAAAGCTGTGAAGAACAAACAACAGAGAATAGGAAAGATCCTTGAAAATTAAAAATATAGCTGAAATTTAAAGAAAAAAAAAAGCAAGAGATGGAACATGCAAAAGGATATCATAACTATAAGAACAAAGTGAAATAAGCATGGAGATAACTCATGTTCTTATCTTGTTCCTGTTTGGGGCGTCTCTAATGTTGTATCAGAGACATGCTGGTAGTGCAGTCGGTAGTGCAGTGGTTAAAGTGTTAGACCGAAACGTAAGTGGTTCAAACGCACTGTCTGTTACAAGGGAGAATGGTGTAGTCTGCTTCCTTAAAGATTTACAGCCATTGGCCAGTTCTACTCTGTCCTACAGGGTTGCTGTTAGTTGGACTCAACTCTGTGGCAGTGGGTTTGAGTTTGGGAATGTTTTATCGTCAACTGTCAATGATGTCTGCAGAATAAGATAATCTTTGTCACATTAAAGAAGTATCATTTCCTATTTGATTTAAATGCCTTCATCAGGAATGGGCTCTTTAGTCATTTAATGATTAACATAGTTTCTGATATGAGAATATCACTGCATATCTTGGATAAACCTACCAGGGCATTGTTGATTTATTGCTTCTTTATTATTTAGCAGTTTTTATATAAGGCATGAATATCCTTTGCCCTTTAATAGCTACCAGCTATTCATAATGATTTCCAGTAATATATCAGACAGTGTTTGACTGCTATTTGTAAGGTTTTCACTGGCCAAGACTTTGAGAAGCAGATGGCCCCTTCCTTCAGGTATAGCAAGGATTATGAGTCTGGCACAAGACTGGGCAGTGTTTCATTCTGTTGCACATAGGGTCACTATGAGTCGGAGCCAACTTGACGGCACCTAACAGCAACAGTCACCAGCAGTCATTTTTAGCTGGGAAATGGAATGCTATTAGTGGCTTCAGTATAGGCTTTGAAATTGAGTTAGTTTTTGCTCCTCTTTCAGAATATTAACAATTATGGAATGCTAGAGATGGAAGGTCATACACATTGTCTGGCGTATTCCCTTTTTCATACAGTTAGGGAACTGTTATCAGAAATCAAGGGTTCAGGGTCACAGAGCAGACTTACAAACCCTCTCCTTTGAATGTCCTGCTTTGTTTCTCCTAGTTGCACATTGAAAAAGAAGACTGAAGCTGCTTTATGTTGAGGAACTATTGGTCTTTCAGTGTCAAGTTCCCTTTACACAATGAAACGTGTGCCTGATTTCTGCTCGGCTCCCAAAAGTTTGCCCTTGGCTTGCCAGCCTAGTTCCTGCCTAGTGGGAGTATACATGTGGGAGGTGGAGGAGGGCCATCTGCTTGTTTGAGGTCATGACATAAAGGTCTGTCAGAGAGCAAACTGAGGCTGTTAAAATTAAAGCAAAGAGTTTTATTGAAGGAATAGAACAATCAGGCAGCACTTCACAAAAGTACTGCTGGTGAAAGGAATTTTTCATAGAAGTACAGAGATTTGAGGAATTTACAAGGAAACATTCTGGTTGGTCGACATTTACAAAGTCATGCTTCAATAGCCACTAGAGAATTAGGAAATCCCTTAAGCATTCTTTTGTTGATCATAAAGTTTGAGTCAATCATTTTATTAATCTATGGATTTTGGAGGCCAGCCTGAGTAAGTACTCTTCCTGGGAGCCTGTTAAGACAGGAAGAGAGGGGAGAGGAGGAGCCTGCTACCCCATGCCCCACCCCTGCAGCTCTCCTAAAATATTCTGGCTAGCTGATTTTTGAGTGTTAGCTAAAAATGAGCAGTAAAACAACAAAAATGGAGTTCAGCCTGCATTTTTGTCAGAGGCTTCTCCTTATGCCAAGTGACTAGCGCACTCCCTCTGCAGGCTCTAGGGGAGAATTGCATCCTTCCCCCTGGCTTTTTCCTTCCTCTTCAAAGTCAGCAGTTTAGCATCTTGCTATAGTCATTACATTGGTTTTTTCTCTATTGTCAACCCTTTAACTGCCTTCCTTTTACAAGTACCCGTGTGATTGTATTTGAGCGCACTGGAATAATCCCAGATAATCTTCCCATCTCAAAATCATTAACTTAATCCCATTGTAAAGTCTCTTTGGCCATATAAGATTTCTGGGATTGTGAGGCCTTAGATATCTTTGGCGTGTATTAGAGCTTAAATTCTAAAGCGCTTGGTTTATGGAAGATTGTGGTCTATAGTGGGAGCTCTAACTCCATTGTGAGGCTTGGCATGTCTCAGATGCCATTTGAGTTTTTTGTTTGTTTGTTTGACCTATAAACCAACATTGTGGCTGTGCATAGGCAAGTTCCAGGGCAAACCTAGGGAGGGGCAGTTTGAACTCAGGAAGAGTGTGGTTGAAAGTAGATTATGGTCACCCAAAGTACTAGGGAGCTTGCCTGAGTGTGCCCTTTTCAAGTTTAAATTAAGGTTGGGGTCCTGGGATTGTTTTTGTAGCCACCTTGTGGCTATGATTTAGGTGTGTGGTCATGAGTCATATCTGGACCACCACCTACCCAAGGTAGTCAAGGCCCAGAACTCATCCTGTAACCCTTTTCTGTCTTCAGTTATATATGGATCCCAATCATGGTTCTTTGTCTGCTTCTATAGTCCTGCCTGCAACAGTGATGAATTGATCTGCTACCAGTCATGATTTTGTGATGATTCTCTCTGTTTTTAATCATATATGATTAACTCCATGGCCATGACTTAGCGGACTCCATTCAACTTTCTGTACTGTGTACATGATGATGCTTTCCCTGATCCTGGATTATTGTCTTTGTCCTATTTAAGACTTAATAAAAGTGTCTCTGTTTAACCCTGTTTGAATCTGAGGTCTCTTTTCCCTTATTCTCACTGTCGTCAAGTCAGATCCGACCCCTACTTGGGCTTCCGAGGCAGTATCACTATGGAAGTAGTCTTCCTTCTGAAGAATGGCTGGTGGGTTTGAACCTCCAGCCTTCTGGTTAGCAGTCAAATGCCTTAGGCACTATGCTACCAATATTCAGCTGACCATGTCTTTGCTTGCTTCCTGCTTTCTTTGTTCTTTGGTTCCCATGCACTTCACAGATGAGTAATTGGGAATGTTCTAAAATGCTCAGACTGGGGAAATATTACTCTGGTAAATATTGATAAAAGGTGTCAGAACAAGCACTCTGTTTCCCACAGAGCTCACCTACCCACCTGGCCTACTCTGCTACCTTGTAGACTTTGTGACTGATTGGGCTCTTAGGTCACCTCTTGTCCTTTTACCCAAATTTCTAGCTCTTCCTAGAGCAGTAGAAAGAGAGACTATTGGCTGGAGCTTGGCTGTCTGCCTTTTAGCTTGGATATATCCCTTCACTTCTATGAACTCCAGGATCCCATTAGTAAGATGGACAGTCACTGCCATTGACTTGATTCCAAATCATTGTGACCCCCATTCGGTTTACCTTCTGTAAAGGTTTACAGAAGTATATTGCCCCATCTTCCTTCCATGGAGTAGTTGGTGGATTGGAACCACCACCCTTCTGATTAGCAGTCAAATGCCTTAGGCACTGTGCTACCAGAGTGCCTTAGTTTGTAGTAGGTAGCTCTGAAAACCTGTTCTGGTTTAGCATTTTATGATTCTATGATTCTGACCTACCTGGGATACTGTCACCACACCCCTACCCTGACTACCTAGCTGTATTCCTGATAGAATCCTGCCTCCAGGCCCACAGTCAAACACCTTGTGTGTCAGGGGCCCTGGAGACATGAGGAGCCTGGTCCTGACCTCTGAGGCTTGCATTTAGAGAGGGAGGTAGGCTGCACTTGCTGACTGTGGTACAAGGGTACCTTGCAGTAAATGCCCTTTGCGTAGCCACAGTTCAAGCAGAAGCACAGGAGCAAGGCCTGGGCTGTGGGAGGCAGGAGACCCTGGGGATAGAGGCTGAGATTGAGCTTTGTCATGTGTGTAGGTTTCAGAAAAGTAGAATTGAAGGTCAGAGGTGGTTGTTTTTAAGGCTTTCATACATCTTTGTATGTGGTTGGATATATCATCTTTTATTTTAAGGCTTCAGGCTACCCTTAGAATAAAGTGCTTTATTATAAATTATTATATTATTATAGTCCAATATTATAAAAATATCCAACCACTTTTTTTTTGTATAATTTGTGATTGAAGTTATCATACTGAGTTGTTTTCATATGATAAAGTAATATGCATAACCCACAACCAACCAGACAATACAGACATGACAGCAAAAGTTAATAATGCCTTTTCTGATTCCATCCCCAAGAAGAAACTAAAGAGAGTTGCACTTTGTTGAGTAGCAACTAGGGTCTTAAAAGCTTGCAAGTGGCCACTTATGCAACAATGGGTCTCTGCTCATCTAGAGCAAAGAAGAATGAAGAAAACCAAAGATGTGTGGAAACAGTCTAAGGGACTGGTGGACTATGTGAACCTCAGCCAATATGACCATGAGTCCAGAAAACTAGATGGGAACAGGCTACCACTGTCAATGGCTTGGAAAGGTATCAATGCAGGAGATACTGGAGAGAGTGAGAGAACAATGTGGAACAAAACTCAAGTTCATTAAAAAAGAAAAAAAAAAAAAAAAAAGACCAGGATTACTGGTCTGACAGAGCCTGGTGAAACCCCTGAGACTATGGCCCCTAGTTACTCTTCAAGTCTGAAATTAAACTCACTCCCATGGCTTCCAGCCAAACAAAAGACAGGCATATAGGATGAACATTTACATTAGGTAGATACGCTCCTTAGAACGATAAATCGTGGGAGAACAGAAGGGCAGTATTTGCCAATGGAAATAGCTCAGTGGACAGGAATGCATAGGAAAGATGGACACAGGGAAGCAGTAACTACAGGGAGGAAGTGGAAAGAGAGCTGTTACATTATGGGGAATTGCAGTTGCTGTCATGAAACAAAACGTGTGAACTCCTGTGTGGAAAATGAATTTGTTCTGTGAACTTTCACCCAAGTCACAATAAAAATATTTTTAAAAAAGAGAACAATTGCACGTGTTTCCTTCCTTACTTTCTCTGTGTTAACAAACAAGCATTCAGATATAAGTCCCCCTGCTTTACTCAGAGTGAAGTGCATAGACATGGAAGCCTGTGTTTACACTGTATTTTTAAATCTATCATTTTAGGTCTAACACCATGGACACCTTATCAGAAGCAAACAGCACCTTTGCCTTGAACCTCTTGAAAAAGCTGGGTGAAAATAACTCACAAAATGTGTTTTTTTCACCCATAAGCATCTCTTCTGCCCTGGCCATGGTCTACATGGGTGCTAAGGGGAACACCGCCACCCAGATGTCCCAGGTACCTAAAACCATGTCAAGTCAACAATAAATGGTCTTAGTTGTTCAACTGAGCTGGTCTTTCACATTTCAGATCCTAAAAGAATCACACTTACCAGATAACTCTGCTCATTCTAAGGTGGATGGAGAGGGAGTTTACAGAGAAAGGCACTGTTACCCGTGCCTGGCCATCCTGTGGTGAGCACCTTCTATTTGTTAGAGGCAGAGTGTGGGGCACATGATTCAGAATAGTAGATGATTTCATTGACACATGGTATTAGCTTAGACGTGAGTTTGTAAGTAGATGTACAATCATGGGATTCAAGTTGAGTCTTGTGATACTCTCTTGGGTGTGGTCAGTTATTTTGCAATTGTTAAAAGTAACCTCTTATTTTTATTTTCTCATTCAAGTGCAAAGCTCTCTTAGAATAGCAGTTGTTAGCCAAACATGCTTCCAATAGTCTTTCAATTATTTATCGTTGAGTAACCAACACCCTAAAACTTAGTGGCTTTGAATATGATTTACTACTTTGTTAATCTGTAGGTGGGTTGGGCATGGCTTCTCCACTGAGTGCTGGCTGGGGCTACTTGTATGCCTGCATTCAGCTGGGCTCAGCTGGAGCACCTTGGTTCTCTTCTGTGTGTCCCTGCCTCCTTGATTGCTTCATCCTCAAGGGCATGAGGATGGCCTGTTGAGCAACATAGCCTGGACTTCCTTAGAATATAGTATACGGTGGGTACTCCAAGAGGACTAGCTTGATGTGCAAGTACTTATCAAGTCTCTGCTTCTGTCATGCTTGCTGATAAGCGCTTAACCAAAGCCAGCCACATGTTGAGGCCTGGAGTCAGTGAGAGAGGCTATACCAGAGTGTGAACACCAGTGTTCTGGCTCATGGGGGCCACCAGTGACTGCCAGAGGCTACCTACTGGTCCCTAATGATTCACATTCTGCCCACAGGTAAAGTGCACTTACTTAGTCCTTTCCAAGACCCAAAAGTCTCATCCTGTTGTGGGACAAACAGATTATCTGCCCTAACTCCCCTACCTCATTCACTCAATGTGTACTGGTAAGACAGATGGGATAGTTGCAATAGACCCATTCAAAAAATGTGATGGAGCGTAGGAGGCACATGATAGTCACTGAGCTATAGTGGTTCTGAAACCCAGCCAGGTCCATGATGCCAGTTCCCTCTGCTCTGAGGGCAGAGAGGTTATGGAACAGTCCCATGCCTCCCAGAAGTCATTCCTGTGCCGTGGCCTGTCTTGGCCTTGGCTCTACTCTCTGTGTTGTTTTAGTTTTCTGCATTTTTTTCTCCTTTTTCTATAAGAAATGGCCCATGTCTGTTGCTGAGGAGCTCTGTCAGCATGCTTCCTGCTCATACAAGTATGGGCCCAGACACCTCTTGTTTTGATCTCTTTCTCCCTTTTAGTCCAAGTTGTTACAGCTCCTTTAAAACCTGTATGGGCTTTCAGGAATCAATTTACAGTCCATGTCATTAGACAAAAGCCACATCCACAAATCTGACACAGGACTGCATGTATTAGATGTGTATCATGTTGAGGAGCAGGATACTGAGGGCCTTTGTCCTTAGTCACTTCATCTAGAAAGAAGGATCTGTGACAAACTATACAGGCCATGAGCATAACTAACCTGAGCCAACCTGTTAGGGTTTGAGAAAGGGCATACCAATACTTCAGGAGATTCTGGTTTCCTATAGGACATGATTATAGGGAGACCTTGCAAGAACTGCAGGTAGAGAAAAGGGTTGACTTTCAAGATACTTGCCATCTTTAATGGTATTTATCTTCCTTTACGTGGTAGTACAACACCACACTGCTGTCGAGTCGGACCCTACTCATAGAGACGCCTCTTTGCGTTTCCGAGGCGGTATCACTATAGAAGTAGATTGCCCAGCCTTCCTTCTGAGGAGTGGCTGGTGGGTTTGAACTGCCAGCCTTCTGGTTAGCAATCAAATGCCTTAGCACTACGCCACCAGAGCTGTAAAAGGAGCCCTGGTGGCACAGTGGTTAAGCGCTCAGCTGCTAACCAAAGGTTGACTATTTGAACTTACCAGCGGCTCTGTGGCAGAAAGATAATGGCAGTCTGCTTCTGTAAAGATTTACAGCCTTGGAAACCTTATGGGGCCATTCTACTCTGTCCTCTAGGGTCACTATGAGCTGGAATCGACTTGATAACAAAGGGTTTGCTTTTTTTTTTTACAGTATCTGTAAAAAGAGTCCTGGTGGTACAGTGGATAAAATACTTGACTGCTAATTGAAAAGTGCATGGTTTGAACCCACCAGCTGCTGTGGAAGAAAGATGTGGCAATCTGTTTCCATAAAGACTACAGACTTGGAAACCCTATGAGACAGCTCTACTCAGTCTTACTGGGTCACTATGAGGAGGATCTGTAAAGGTCTTAGTGCTGAATTCAGCATTTCTTGAAGTCAGGGGATACTAAAGATGTATGTTTTATTCTGTGTTTGATTTCAGGCACTTTCTTTAAATAAAAACAGAGGTGCAGGTGATGATGTTCACCAAGGTTTCCAGTCGCTTCTCACCGAAGTTAACAAAACTGACACTCAGTACTTACTCAGAACGGCCAACAGGCTCTATGGAGAAAAGACATATGATTTCCTCTCAGTAAGTCATACTTGTTTTTTCACTAGGCAGTGAAATATGAAGGTACTGGGGAGGAAGGGATAGTGTGTTAGAAAGACCCAATGGCAACTGACAACAACAACAACAGGTTCTTGTTATATAAAAATACAGATAAAGCAGGAGTCCTCATCACCCTCTTTCCCATACCCTATCCCCCACCTTAAGAGCTTTCACTCCCTTCTCCAGTATAAGAGTTTTATAGAAATTTTGTTCTATGGGGGTTTTCTCTACATAATGTCATGATGCCATATATACTGTTTGTACTTTGTTTCTTTCATTTAACAATATGTCTTAAATTCTTTCCATTTCAGTATATGTAGATCTACTCACTCTTTTTAGCTGCTCTCTGGTTTTCCTAAGTGTGGGTGCATCATCCTGTGTTGAACCATTCCGCTATCGAGGAGCATTGAGACTGTGTCCAGTCTGGGCTGTCACAGACTGTGATCTTGTCTATGTGCATGTGCTACCTTATAATGGATTTATAGAAGGAAGGAAAGGAATGAGTCTTTGAATTTTAGTAAATTCTGCCAAATTGCTCTCCCAAGTGCTGTGTTAGTTGACATTCCCTACAGGGTAATCAGCAGGATGCTCACTTCCACCTCCCTCCAGCCACCCTGTGTATTATCAGCCCTTTTCATTTTGATTAAAAATGAGGTTGAACAATGTTTCTTACCATTTACTGAACAATTATATCTTCTGTGAGTTGCTTGTTTATATATCCTTTGCACATTTTTATATTGGGTTGTATGCCTTTTTCTTACTGATTTATAAAAATTCTTTACATGTTTGAGATACCAATCTTATTCTGTTACAAGATTATTTTAATTATCTTTTAAGCTTGTTTCAGACCATAACTTAAAGCACAAAGGATTGCTTGCTTTTCTTTCTTTCAGTTTGGAGATTATTTTAAGAAAAGCATTGATATTTAAAATCTTATTTTGATATTGTAATATAAAAAAGATGAAAAACACCTGTTATTTCCCATTAATTTAGTGTTCTAAGACTCTAATACCAATAGCAATATATATTCCTTTAGTTTGACTAGTCATTACTTATAAAATAAATAATAGACAGTTGTAAAAATTACCCAAGGGTGCAGCAAGTTATCGATGTGTGACAGCTTGCTTTCAGACTATTTCCTTAGATTGAGAGATTATCTAAAAATTCAAAAAGCATTTATAAACAAGCTGAGCCAACCTAATTTGTGAAGCATGAATTATGTGAAGATGAAATGAAATGATAGATTACTCAGTGCAGTGCCTGGGACATAGGAGCATCTGATAATGTTACATAAAGCTGTAGTCATGGTAATAACCCATTTGGTTCTCACAGTAACTCTGTGATGTGTCGCTCTTGCTGCTTCCTCATTTTGCAGGAGAGGACGTGGAGACTTAGGGACATTTAGTGACTTTTCTAGGGTGACACAGGTAGTAGGTTATAGAACTAGTGTTCATAACACTGTGTCATGTTGCCTTTCTAATACTATATACAAGTGGCTAGAGAAATGTAAAATCCTGTAATATAGAACAATTCTGAAAAGGGGGTGCAAAAATGGCAAGGAGGCCACATGTTCTGACCTCCTCTAATCCTACAAGAGGAAGACAGGATTACCAGCAGTAACCCAAGGCCTATTCCTACAAGGCCAGACATGCTGCCTCCCTCCAGCCCTTTCACCAACCGTTCCTCCTAAAGCACCCACCACCTCTCTCCTGGGTTTGATAATTCGCTGCAGTG